GAGGAAGGTATTAAACTGATAAAAATAGTACTAACCACCACACTCCTATCTGGTGTCACATTAGCTTGACCGCGCAGTGCCCCAAATTTGCAGTAAGAGGACCGACCAAGCCTCTTCTTCCATCTCCCTGTTACAAAAATCAATGCCGTGTACACGTCCACTGATAGGAGACGCGGAAGGTATTAAACTGATAAAATAGTACTAAACACACCACTCCTATCTGGTGTCACATTAGCTTGACCGCGCAGTGCCCCAAATTTGCAGTAAGAGGACCGACCAAGCCTCTTCTTCCATCTCTATTTTAGAAATCACTGTATATCCATACAAATTGTACAAGTCATCCAGGATAGTTTTCAGGGACAAATGTGTGCCTGTGAAACGAGGTATTGACCCCTTTCGGGTCCCAGGTGTCACGGTTCCTAAAATGGCTGCCATATACACGATCATGAAGTAGGAGGCGGAAGGTATTAAACTGATCAGAACAATACTAAACACACCACAAATAAGGTTTCTCTCCTGTATGGCTCCTCAAATGATGCTTAAGATTAGAAATGACTGAAAAGCATTTCTCACACTCCGAACAAAAATATTTTTTTAACGTTCTCCATACTTTGAGCGAAATGGCGTTTGGGAAGAGATTAACATAATTAAACACAGGCAGTAAACGGTTTTGCTTCATACACTGTAACTTTAAAAACTACACATCCCATCTTCATAATTACATATTTGGAATCAGCACACTTAAAACATAAACATAACCAAAAATCAGCCAAATCCATCCAGGGGTTAAAAAGTTAGCTGGAGGTCCCTTTATGACCGACCGCAAGCACATTTTCCTGCCTAAAACAGTTCCATAGATTTGGGCTGTGCGGTCGGTCTATTTCAGGCTGAAAAAACGACTAAGTCCCATCGCCGAATGGGACTTAGTCTCTGCAGCTGAAATAAGGCTGAAAAAAGACTAAGTCCCATCGCCGAATGGGACTTAGTCTCTGCAGCTGAAATAAGGCTGAAAAAAACGGCTGAAAAAAAGACTAAGTCCCATCGCCGAATGGGACTTAGTCTCTGCAGCTGAAATAAGGCTGAAAAAAACGGCTGAAAAAAAGACTAAGTCCCATCGCCGAATGGGACTTAGTCTCTGCAGCTGAAATAAGGCTGAAAAAAACGGCTGAAAAAAAGACTAAGTCCCATCGCCGAATGGGACTTAGTCTCTGCAGCTGAAATAATTTCCCATTTACTGAACCAAGTGGGAAATAGCAAGGCAGGCACAAAGGGTTTGCACCAGGTCTGGGGACACAGGGGACACCGTCTTAAAGGGGCCGTGTCCCCAACAAGTCTGGGGACACGGCCTTAAAGGGGCAGTGTCCCAATCTTCCTGATGTCCCAAAAAAGGTGTTTAAAGGGCCAGCACCAGTCACATAAAGAGTCCATAAGCCCCAATATGCCCACCGACAGTCTTAAAGGGCCATACACACCAAATAAAAGTGCATACATTTTCACAATCTCCCAGGGGCCATAGTCATGCGGGAGGAGGCTGGCAAAGAGGCTTCTCCACAACCCAGGGAAACAGGGCAATTTGCCATTTAAAGGGCCCGTTACAAATAGCAGTTTGTAACAAGGTGTCAATCCATATCTGCCAAGTGACCCGATGTAACAGTCCCTATTCTGCTCTGTGTCAGTGTGTATCAGGGATCCTTAGGACAGGTGTCAATCCATATCTGCCAAGTGACCCTATGTAGGGGGACCAGTCTCTATTCTGCTCTGTGTCCGTGTGCATCAGGGGCTCTGAGGACAGGTGTCAATCCATATGTCAAGGTGTCAATATGTCATATGTCAGGTGTCAATCCATATTGATTGTGATTTAGGAATGTTAGGTGATTTCTGCCCTTTATGGATTAAAACCAGACTCTGTATCAACTGTGTAATTTTCCATGGAAGTTTTGCCATGGATCCCCCTCCGGCATGCCACAGTCCAGGTGTTAGTCCCCTTGAAACAACTTTTCCATCCCTATTGTGGCCAGAAAGAGTCCCTGTGTGTTTTAAAATTCGCCTCCCCATTGAAGTCAATGGCGTTTCGGGCGGTTCGCCGGTTCGCGAACATTTGCGGAAGTTCGCGTTCGCCGTTCGCGAACCGAAAATTTCGGGTTCGCGACATCACTATCCATGATAGACTCATATGCTACAGTCACCCCTAGAACCCCAGCTGGGGGCAATCATTTTTAGTATAACTGGGGACTCCTGGGGCACAAATTTGATTTATTTTTCTATTCAGCATTAGTTATTTTGTTTGTTTAGTTAAGTGCAGTAGTTCAGTTGTTTACACCTTTTTTAGGCCGATTGGTTTCAATACCACACACGCCCTCTGCCTCAGGGCATTTCAGATGAATATTGAATAGCCGATCAACTTCGAGAGGCATAATTGTAACCGTTACTTACTCTGCAGTACCTTCCATAGTTAATCTTTTTATTTGTATTTTTGGAAACTTTTTTTATATGCTCTAACAGTGAGGATGCTTCATTGACATTCCCTAAATGGATAGAGTTAGACTACCCGGGGGAAACACATACCTACCCATGATCATGCTCCTTCTGCTAATGTGTATCACATTAGAATTGTTCATCCATGGTAAATTTATATATTCTGTTCATGTATTTTTGCGCTGTACAAACATTTAAACTTGAGCCAAAGCTGACATTTATTGTACGGCTCATCTATGGATTGATGCAAAGATAAAGAATGTAAAAAAAAAGCAATAGAACATGCAATAGGCAACATCAATATTACATAGAGAATAAGAGAGTAAACATTATTGCAGAATATAAATTGTAATGTTCCTCCTGACACTTTACAACAGGGAAATTCTGATCTTTAACCCCTTAAGAATCAAGAGTGTGCCCTCCCTGACATACATTTAAGGGATTGATAAGCATAAAGTGTCCAAGAGATCAAATAGCATAATTCTGAATATAACAAATAGCATATTCTCTTAATTAAACAGATTATGCTTTAGGAAAATTCACTCAGTTCTAAAGGAATTTATAAACTAGCTCCAGTGCACTGAGCCTGAAATCAGAATACAATTTATACAACAGACCAGAAATTTTGTAGAGTAGAATCTTCCAGAAATTAAAAATGATTATGAAAGTTGTGACCTGGTGATACAAACAGATACAAATTAAAGGGCCAAGTTTTTTCCCTCTGGGAGCATGCTGACAGCCTGGCACATCTTGCGCGCAGGGTGCTGCTGTGATTTAGCGGCCATTTATGTGGCTGGAGTGATGGTGTGGCCCTGGCCCAGATGGGCAGATAATATTTGTGGCAGTTGTTGCCATGGTCAGCTTGCTTCTAGGGGGATTTCGGAGGCTTCGCTCCGCAGCATCTCCACTCGCCCTCCAGCAGAGAGGTGCTTGGGATGACTGGCTTCATGCGCGCAGCTGATAAAACCAGGGGGGGGACGTGCGTAGCCCTCTGCCTGGTCTTTGTAGGCCGGACAGATCTTCTTGGCATGGCACCAGGTTTTGCATTTGGGAATCTTTTGCCATGATCTCAGTGTGGGGTAGGCTATTAATACACCCCTAAAAGCAGAGCTTGTCAAATCGAGCTTCAAAGCTCATCCTCCATTGCTGGATCGCCAGACTCCCCAAACTTTGTGGAGACTGTGGCACGGTGGCCATCTTGGGTACACTGCGTGGATGCTGTCTTTGCTATTGAGGTGAGATCCCCCAGCTGGGACTGGGATATCTTCCACCAGTCCAGAGGAGGGTTGGGGGGGTTGCAGGTCTGGAAGAGGATTTCCATGAGAAGCATGTCCAATGTCGGGAGATCGACCGCTTCCCTCAGTCACCGGGCCACAAGTTGAAGTAGGTCGCATGGCCGGACAGCGTGAATATTCGGTGTAACGGCTCGATACATGCAACAACATATTCCCACTCGGTATAAGGCAACTCACGAGCAGTGTAAAGTAGATTGCAATACAGTTTATAGCATTAATAGGTTATTTTGTGCCTGTGTGTGCTGGAGCTGTTACAGAGCACATCGGCCATCTTGGTAGTCAAGCCTCACCTCCTGGATTATTTTTGTAATCTTGATTTTTTATTTTTTATTAGTTTTTCGTTGTGATTGCACCCTTTATTTATTTATTTATTTTAATTTGTGTTTTATTAGTGTTTGTATGCAACGAGTACAGCTTTTATACTATCTGGGGGTTACATAAGAGTTATGAAACATTTTACTGAATATGGGTGTACTCGGCAAGCAACTTAGTGTGAGTACAAAGTGTTTCATAGAAAGAAAAGCTGCTTGTATGGTCAGTGTAGACTGAGAAAGTTAGAGAAGAACTATAGCATGACCATTAGTCTCTTGGGTGTGTTTGGTCTGTTAATGCCTGGAGGATAGCCTGTGTAGTATACCTCTATTCAGTCTCTTGGTTTGACTTGAACTGCTCTCTCCGGTCTGTCAACCTCTGGTTGTGCTGTTGCTTGAGCCATTGGCATCTCTCCTGACCTGACTGTATCATCAGCAGATGTGAATGAATGGGATTCTTTACCACGTGACACCACCACTCCACACTGATATTTAATGGAACGGTCATGTAGTCTTTTGGAAACTGGAGCCAGCTGTCACTTTTCTGTAAGGATGGA